ACGTACGCTCCGCACCGTTTGGGGTTTTTTATAGAACAAACTTTGAATATTATTTTTACCATTTTAAAAAAACGGGAGAACTGATTGTACATTTGTAGGAGTTTCTCACATAAACTCTGCAGCAGAGTACACGTGTGGGCGTTCAGTTAGTGACCACTATTAGACTGGAATGAAATCGATTTGTTTCTTTTTTAGAGCTGAATGTGTGTGCCTATGTGATATATATATATATACATATATATGCATTAGAATGTTTGAGAGTGTGAGGGAGGAGAGAGACGGGGGAGTGGAGGCAGTTCGCTAAAACACTGTAGTTTGCAGTTAGCTAACAGCTTTGCATGACTTCACTCTTACGGTCCCTGTAATAACATGACGTCACAGACGCTCTGACCTCATAAAAGATTCAGTGGCAATGAAAAAATGACGATCTGATCACGCTCCAGCATTTATTTTACCTCATGAAGGATGTTTGGACGTCCAGTTTCCTGAGCGGAGCGGGTGCACGTGCTAATGCTTTGACAGACAGTGATCGTACATGAAAACTGGTTGAAAGTGAAGCTTGATCACTGTTATCAATGTCAAAAGGTAGAAATTACCTCAAATTTGTCCAAACCATAGATTATTAGCCAATCACAGCTCTACCACAAACTACGCTGTCATAAACAACAGAAGAATTTATCAACTGTGGGGAGGAAGAACTACTTTCATGCTACAAAACTACTATAAATGATCAGAGTTTACAAACAAACGACAGATTCTGTTGTTTTAATGCAGGGGTCTCAACCTGGAATGAGCTGTGGGCCACTGCTGATACTGGATCTCATTGGAGGACCAAGTAGTACAAAAAGAAACAAGAACCCAAAACTATTTACAATAATGTAGCGTTTTGTTTGTTTGCTTTTAATTTCAGATACTTTATAACAAGACAAAACTGCAAACATGAACACAGTTTTCCCTCATTCCTAAATAACTGAAGCCGTTCATTGAACTACCAAATAAACACCTTGGTCCTCTCTGGCCACACACGTGGCAGCACTTCTGCTATCACTTCATTTTTAAAAATAAAATAAAAATTCAGATATAAGTGTCCACATTAGTTTGTGACTCTCTGCCAATGCTGCCTTCATATTAAATCTTTTTTTTAACATTGCACTCAACAACAAACAAATCCTCCCAACAAAAAAGTAACTTCAAGGATCAAATTACATTATATTTCTTCATGTTAACATACGGCCTTGATAAGTATCGTGGGCTCCAAGTGGCCCTCGGGCCACGAGTTTGAGACCCATGATTTAAATTAAAACGAATTAATGATCACATTCTATATAAAACTGGATACGGATTCATCTAAAATCAAGATTTACGCTGTAAGTTGAACTTTGTTTCAGTGATTTTCGTCACGTACACATTTGATGATTTGTAAAAATATAATACATGTAGGGTTTGCCAAAGCATTAGCATGAGCACGTGCAGTCCAAATAAGGGAACATGGAGATTTATTTGAGGGTGCACATCCACTTTTCCCTCCGTCATGTTATTCCGGGGACAACTTTGAGTACTGTCATCTGGAATTGCTCCTATCAGTCTGCACGGGTTTGTCAACAGTTTACAGAAAAAGTTAAAATAAGCATTGTTTAACCGTTTCAGTGTCAGCTTATCAAGGCTTAAATGTTAAGATATAACATTAATAACTGGCAGTCAGTATTGTAGAGGTCTGAGCCGTTTTTATTATGCTTATGTAAGTCAAAGGTAACTTAAATGTGAATTTATTATACAAACACTTTAATATTTTTGGGTTTGTTTGCTTTAGTTGTATTCCACAACCAGCTTAATATGCAACTAGACCTCTAATTGATCCAAATATGTGTTGGTACTTATTAATAGTAGTATATATGTTTACATATCAGCTGAAAATACTCTTCATCCATCGTTTATATTTATAGGTATTCACTAAGCCCTGATAAGCTGGCAGGTGAATTTATTAATCCACCTAAAATATTTGTACAAAAGAAAACCAAGCAAAAAAGTTACTGTACTTGTAAATACATTTAAATGTATATACACACACACACACACACACACTATATCACAATTCTCTGAGTAACTGTTTTATATGTATTCCTATATGAAGTGGGGTCATCTGTGTATTTTCAATTCAGCTGAACTTGTTCTTGAATTCTATGTTCTCTTTATAATGAAAATATATTGTCTGAAAGGTGTAAAGTAATTCTTTTGGGTTAATTTCATAGCTAAAAGTATGCTATTATGAGCCTTTTCTTTATTCATGAATTCTTTTGTTGTCAATATGTGACATATATATAAGTAACCTCTGATTGTTTTCTGAGTGTCAGAATAAAGCAGTTATATGATCATCATGTCTGCCTTCACACATGGATGTTGTTGTTGCTGTTGTCAATCTAAGACTTTCTCACCACAGTCTAAATTTCCTGCCAACCAAAGTCAGTTAACAAAAATAGTCAGTACAGATCTTTTCTTCTTCTTCGCTTCATTGAGATTTAAGCGTCGAATAAGCCCAACTTATTGCTACGTGTAGCTCTTTCAGTTTTTTTTAAAGTTGCTCCTTTGTGGCACAAAATCAAACAGCGGGGACACAAAAGATTAAAAAAATGAGACTATTAATAATTTAAGTTGAGGTAACTGCTCGTCCACTGTCGTGTATTCCTGTCATAAGTTGTGTTGGTTGACAGACTGATCTGATCACGCTTAAATGATCCAAACAGGAAATGGGTAACTTAGAGCACAAGGTTAATAATAAATTGTGGAAAATAAATGAATACATTGAAGCTGTAGTGTCACACTGGAACTATAATAACTAATAAACTCAAAAATTAAAGGCCATGAACACCACAAACTGAAAGGTTGGCGCTAGACTGAATCAGCTGTTGTGATTGGTTGTTTTGGTCAGGTGACTCAGCGGTCCCCAATCCCTGGGGCATGGACCGGTACCGGGGTGTGAAGTTTATGGTTTTTAGAGTTTTTAGTGTCAACTCTGTTTCCCTGGGTCGTTTCCCGTGTTGTAGTTGTGTCTTATTTTGAAAGGAATATTTAGCCGTTACCATAACGATCAGATCTTTAAGGGGCAGACAGGAGGATGCTACGCTCAATGTTGTTGGTGCATTTTAGGAGGACGCTGCTAATAAAGTTTCATAACTACACAGTGAAGTCACGTTTATTATTATGTTGTTGTATTTATCCGCCACACCTTAAAGGATGGGGACCGCTGAGGTAACTGATGAAAAAGGTTGCGTGGGAGCCAATCAGGTCGGTTGCGGACTTGTTGCATCAACTTGTTTGCCTATGACGGGCAGCCAAAATTAGCTTCAGAAGCTACACCACACAGCTGGTTTCAGCAGGTCTCCTCTAACCTCAGACGAAAGATTATTTTCAGGAGTCTTTGGTGTTTTTGAGGACCTTCACTACCATAAATGCTGTTAGGGAGAAACTGTGAGGGGAAAACGCGACGGATGGACGCTGTCGGTTAGCTACCTGGAGGCGGTTGCGTGCAGCTGAAGGTGTTGAGGACTTGGATAAGAGCCTCACTTCTGTTAGAGATGAGCAGCACAAATAAGCTTCAAACCCCTCTGAGCTGTGATTACACACCTCGGATTTGGAAGGGCGGGTTTCAGAGCTCAAAGATTATTTTCTGTAGTGGTGACAGTGTTTAAGGATCTTCACCTACTCTGCCTTTGTCTTAATGACGATCCCGCGACTGTTTAGTCCGTGTAACGTTCCAGCAACATCCAAACTAGCGTCCGCTCCCCTTCACTGCACGGTGGCAGCACAAACAGATTAAAACTTGAGGAAATAAACCCCAAACTGTCCGCAGGGCTCAAAGCTAACATGCGCACTGTTAAGCAGACTTCACAAACTATGAGTGAGAGCAGCACAGGCTCTCACGCCTGAACCATCCCCTCCCCTGAATCCTTCACATCCGTGGGTGATTAATATATTTGTGTCTGCCTGACAGCGAGGCCTATATGTAGCTGCAGCGCTATTGTGCTCCCTCCCTGCTGAGCCGTAAGACCGCATGTGGATATTTTTGTATGGCGGGTCCCCAGCGAGCGCTCAGTAAATCCGAGGTATAGAATAGATAGAGGAGAGGAAAAGCTTGGGCCAGTTCCTCTCTGGGAAGAGCCAGATTGGGGCGGGGGTGCAGGGTGGAGGCTGATTGAGCACGCCACTTGTTTGACTGTTTGTCTCTGCTGGTTAGGAGGTGGTGGGGGGACTGGGCGGGGTGATGCACTACAAAGCCATTCTGAAATTAAAGCCTCATCTTCTTTCATTTATTTATTTTTTCATCAGAAGCTCAACAGAGCTGCCGAAGATCACTGTGAATTAGGAAGCGTCTGTCACGACGAGGGTCCCGGGACACTCGCCTCGCCCACACCCCTCTACCCCTCTCTCCCCAGCTGCCATCCGGCCCCATTATACGCTGAGACTTTTCACTTTGTGCTGCCAAACTGCCGATCTCCACTCGCACGATTACAGCTCGCTCTGATCTGTATCCTGGGGAGAGCAGTAGCTTTGGTTTTGGCAGGCGTGAGACCTCTACTCCCGCTTCTTTTATGCCGCATTACAAGAGCGCGATGAAACGCGAATGACGCCGAGCTCCCAAACTTTTTCGCAGTTGAGTTGTAGACGCTGTGGCTCCTGTTGGCGGTTTCCACGCCGTGTCTTAACCTCAACTTCTGAACTTTTTTTTGTGTACATTGCACAGATGGGGCGGAGGGGGCTTTAAAGCGAGCGCGGGTTGTTTACTCCATACGTTGTTCCATATGTTTACCAGTGTTGGTTTCTCTCAGAGAACTATGCTGTTGGCGACACGATCCTCGCCCCCAAAAAACTTACTCAGAGAGGCACAAAGTTGCACCGAGCTGCTGCACACTGACTCTTCACAGCACCTCTCATTATGCATGTCTATCAGAAACATAACTTTCTGCATATTCACCAGTCTCCCCGCTTCTCTCCCCTGTTTCTAGTAAATACAAAATGAAGAGCTGTACTCAGTATTGATGGACATCACAGATGAAAACAACGAAGAGAGGAGAACTAGCTTTAAGAAAATAACAAAAGAAGAAGAAGACAAGGAGGAGTCCCTCTACTGAGGCTGGCGAGGAAAGACGGGAGGCGTACAAAGTGGCGCCGCGGCAGTGGTGTCAAACCAGCCACAAACTTGACAGACGGAGTGAGCCAGTTTCCACCAGGGACCACCTTTTTGCCGGGTAGAAAAAGACAGAGATAGAATGAAAAGTGTCCCGTTATTATAAAACATTTTATTTTTCTATACTTTTGTGATTTACAATGGTAAAAAAAAAAGTGTGTATAAAGCAGTATATATGTACAAATCTGTTTTTATGTTTTTTGGTAAGGGAGATGAACAGTTGGCCCTTGATGCTGATTCTGTGGTATGCAGGAAGGAGGAGGGAGGAGCCCCGCCCCCCCTCCTCTCTCTGTGGCACACTGCTCTGTCGCCGAGGTCGTGTTTGAAAAAAACAAAAAAAGTTACAAAACAAAACAGAAAAGGTGGCAGGGAGAGCTCGGCATCCAGGCAGAAGCACTTTCTATGCTGTACTTCCTGTGGGTGGAGTCAAAGGTCAACCTCCTGGTCTCACTGCTCCGCCTTCTTCCTTCCAACCTCCCCAAAACTCCTTCCTTCTCGGGCCGGTGATGACGCTCTTTCCTCCTTGTTGCGGTGTCACTGGCCTGCAGCGCCTAGCGTTAGCAGCGTCCCCCGTGGATACTGTTGTGATGTCACTTCCTCCCGGCAGCACCATTGGGCATCCCCGCCCTCCCCAATGGGCAGCATCACTGGTTTACAGCGTTGGGGAGTGGGGGGGGTGAGCCACGGCGGGACGGTGAGACGGTGTAAAGCCGAGCCTCCCCGTCTGCCCCTCTCCACGCCCCAGCAGAGGTCACTGACTGAGGACTAGTTAGAGAACACGGCGCAGAAGTCGCCGACTTTACTCACCTGCCAGACTCCGAGCCCAAGCCTTTGCGTCACTCCGCACCGACGGACAAACTGTCAGACCAACGCGACGATAAGGTGCGTACGACTACCAAGGATGCACGTTTCCACCTGACGAGAATAACTCATCGACGTCCATGTAACAAATTGAATTATAATCGAATAATCCCATCGTACTACATCAGCAGGTGCATAACCAAAACACAAGCCTGAGGCATATAGACTTATGTCGCTAGATAAAACATATAGAAATACAGTAGTGCCCATCCAACGGTAATCGAGGAACTAGGGCTGAAATATGTCAACTTTTCTTTGTCCGTGTATTCTGAGAATATTTATTTGTGTGTTTTTTGTATTTTTTTGCAGCACTGAAAGTTTTAAACAGGAAAAAAAAAAGTTTTAATTTGGTGGAAGCGAAACCTTAATTCTTTATATCAGGAAAAATCACTGTAAACGTGTTAAATCAAGAATGTTGGTTCAGTTTTTGAATGTACTTTAATGTCTAGGGTGTCCAATAAGTATGTATTCTTTTTCTGTATATAAATATATATACATATCTATTATATGGGCTGTGGTGATGTCAGGGAATAGAGGGGGTGGGCAGGAAAGCCTCTGGCCCCCAACATAGATATCAGACCCCTCCCACTAAATATGTCCCTGATATTTACTGTAACATGTGATCATGTGTTATATGATTGAAAGTGTGACGGTGATAGTGTGAACTGATCTCCCCCGACATCGCCCCCCGAATCCCACGTTTACCACACAAGCAAATGTATACTGTGCACAAACACACACAGGTTAACAACACAGGCAGGATCACACACACACACACACACACAATCCCCAAACTGCTTTTTTCCCTCTTTTTTGTGCCCCACTCTGAGCAAAAACACCACATCCCACTTTCAGACACTTCACAAAAAGAACCACATCTGCGCGCTAACTCCGGCCCCGCGCCGGAGCTCCAGCACTTGCTAATTAGCGCAAAGTTTAGTGGGATAAAAAGTTTATGAATATTGATTTTTCTTTTCTTACTTGAACCAAAGCATGATTTGAACACAGTCTCAGTGCTCTTTGATCAGGAGACAGCGGGACTCGGTGATGACGGCGGAGCCCGGATGTGTATTGACGTGACCCAGATTTCATTCGCTCATCGCCGCCGAGGTAGAGCTCGCTCTCCCTCTAATGTAACGAGCCTCGCTGACGAAGCCCGGCTCGCGGCTTCCTGCGGCAGCTGCCTCGGTTTATGAGCCGCTGTTCTGGCGCTGACCCTGGTGGGCGGGCGGTTTTATTGCGTATTGGAAACAACCTGCTGGCCCTGAGGAGAAACTTTATCAGAGGCGAGCGGGTTCGGGTGAAGCACAACTTTGTTTGAGAGTTCAGGGTACACTACTTGGTAGTGGTTTTGTGTGAGTGGTTACAAGAGGGTAAGACTAGGTTAAGCTCCTGACTTCCTGTACAAAACTACAGTGTGTACTGTTAATATCCTGTACAGTAAATCTCACCTCACACTTCTTGATTAACTTCATCTTATTTCAGGTTAAAAAAAAAAAAGTACTTGTTCTAAATCAGGGCTCCTACCCACGCGACCTCTGTTCATCCGTAGACAGCTTCTCATATATTACAGAGTATCTATATCATGCCAACTAACTGTCGTGAAGTCTAATTGGGGTAAAGTCGGTCATTCGTTCTCCCATGCAGCGATCACACGCAGGCTTAGCGTCTTCATACCTGTAGGTTTGTCACGCGGTTCCTCTGGCCTACTTACGGGCTACAGCCCCGCGGTAGGTCAGAAGCAACGCAGGAGCAGGCTGGAGTTTTACTTCGATGGCAACTTTGTGGAAAGCAGAGCTTCTCTGAAAGGAAAACGGGGGAAACCTAAATGGTCACTACATGATCAGCAGCGATAAAGAGCCACAGTTTGTCGTTTGTTTTTTAACGAACTTTAGGTTTTGGTCAGATGTTCGGATTTTGTCCACTGAAATATCTATGCATTCTGCAACAAGAACACTTGATGTCATGTGTGATAGGCACATTCTGGGTAGACAGCACTTTTCTCTACTTCTTCTAGTCAACTCCTAGCTGATAAAACCTAAACGGATAACACTGGTATTATTATGCATTTTAATTTTGTCAGCAAATCTCAACACAAGACAAAAAAAAAAGTTTGTTTCTGATTTTTCTTGTTTTTCTGACTTCCACTTTGACCGTGTCTCTTGGTTTATAGTGAAGACAAGAATCTATTATGTGTGATTCGCATATTTAAAAAAACTCGTATCGATCGTATCCTGGCTCGTTACGCCGCTCCTGGAAAAGCCGTTTTGGCGCCTTTAGTCTTAAAATCCTACTTTTTCTTCTGATTGGCTCCCAGAGCTTCAGGCGAGGGGAGATTCTCGAGACGACCGTGTAAGGAGATCCAACGCTTCAAGCTTTCAGCTCACAGGGATTACAATAACACACGTTCGCCTAATTAAACGAAGGCTTCAGCAATCTCTCACATATATGATATAAACCTGAAATAAGTCCCCTTTAAAACCGAGGAAGCAGCTGGCCGCTATACTTTTTGTAAGCATTGCTCAAACTGAAGTGCATTACTTAGGGACTGTTTCCAGCAGCTGATTAATCCACATTTGGTGCTCTGGTGAGTATTTGTGGCAGCAGAGGTGTGTGTGTGGGTTCAGGTCAGAGTAAACTATAGTGTGTGTTTCCGTGGTAATCAAGGACAACAGTGTGGCTCCCTGCTGGGATTTTAACGGTTTCTGGCCAACAATGAAGCTCTGCAGATACATCTGGCACACACACACACGATACTACACTGCACCTCTGCTCATTTTATTGCATTTGATGTCAGAGGTCAATATAAAGCATTTCTACGGGGCGACGATGCAGACGCATGTAATATATTAGGCTGCCACGGTTTTAGTTCTTAACTGCTAACTTGAATTTTTACAGTACAGTGGTTCACAGTCAGTATAACCGTTTCTCTAGTTTTTCCTCTGAACAATATTAGTCACAGTAGTCGTCGTAGTTTTAGTAAGAGTAGTTCGGGATTTCGTGCAATTCTCTTTAGAGTCCGCTGGATTTTTGAGGCCGGCGCTCACACCAGTGTTTAGGCAGCAGGACATTCTGATGAGGATTTATATGGGCCAGTATTCTTTTATAGATATGTAAGTACACAGTATTTTAGAGCGATATATCAAATAACTAACGATGTGGTCACCGTTCAGTATTCCAGCAATGTATTTCAGAAACACTTTAGCAACTTAGAATAGAGACACGCCTCGACTCCATGATGCTGCTCTGCTACATGTGCTGCAAACGGCGTCGGCGCCCCTCCGCTGGGAAAACCGAGCGATGACTCCATTTAGAAATTAACCCGACCCGCTTTTTTTTCTACCTTGTACTAAAAAAACAAAACAAAACAAAAAAAAAAAGTTTTACAAAGAATGAAAACAGAGTTTTTACGTCACACTGGACAACTTACATGACTATGATGAGCAAATATCACTAAACCATCGCTAAATCTAATGACGTGTTCAGACCAATTTTGATACACACAGTCTATGCAAAAGGTGCAAATTCAAACCGATTTGCACCGGGTGAGGCGAGAATAGAGGCAAATAAACAGCCGCGGGGTTTCAGCGAGAAATTCACTTCAAGCTGTGCTGTTAAAGCCGATCAGCTGCTTCCCCTGACTCAGCATCCGAGAGATACGAGGGGGGAGGAAGAGTTTGGAGAAAGTTTCAGAGGAAATCTGGAACCGGGCGTCCCATCGGTCGCTGGGGTGAATATTTAGGGGTTGCAAAACGATCCAAAACCAGCAACCGCATTCATGAGAGTCACACAAAGTGAAACTCTGTTTCATGTTTGGTCTGAACACCACGTTAGAGCCGCAGCTTCAAGGTGATTTTCACCTGCATTCCTGCCCATTAAAACAACGACACTACACGTGTGCACACAACGTGGGTACATCGCTTCCTCTTTAGTGTTCGAGCGTGTAAACAGCTTTACAGATGACTTTTGGCCAACTTTTGAATTATCTTGAAAAGAAAAAACAGACGGAGTGAGAGAGAAAATGTTGTCCTTTATAACTTTTTGCTGGTACGTGTAAAGAATAGAGCTCATCCTGCTTACGGGTAGAATTCTGTCCTAGTAGCTTTCATTGCATGAAGTTATCTTGTCACATTTTCTGACTGAGAACAGCTCCTGTGAACAAAGCTTCCTTTAAACGTGCTCACCAAGCCTCACGGGAGCTGCGCTCGAACAGTTAAAAAAACAACAAAAAAAGTCTTTTGATCCGTGTCAATATGAAAAGTATCTACTACATTTTAAATGATGTAATCTGAGTAGTTAGATGTTTGTAATGTCTCTTTCTCC